TGTTGCTGCTGCTCCTTTAGAGGCTTATAGCCTCTGTGCCCAGTAGGTGTCATGTTCGGGCCGTCAGCCATTATCCTAAAACACAAGCTTACCTCCCTTTTTGTGACGTTTTACGGCTCCTCCTTCTGGATCACTCCGCAATGTCTGCCTGTTAGCTTTCAGAAATACTTTCGCTCCTCCCAGGGTCACTGTCTCCTTGTAATCTGCTTAGTAAGACACACAGCCAACGCAGTGTGTCAAGACTTAACCAAGCCTCTTTCATTATTCACTTTTAATAACTACTTTTCAAACTGGAACATAAATGTTATAAACTCATACACACTGCATATTAACTTTGGGGCACAAAACAATAACACAGCTCAAATGCATTCACACAGCCTTAAATTTTTCACAGAAAATTGCTCCAAAGCAATATCATGTTTGCTCACAAACTAACAAATTCACTGTGTTGTTTACCGAGCGAGGGAGCAATGGACCAATTAATTCCAAACTCTTCAATAATTAGCTGTATAGCTCGCTCTACTTCAATGCCAAACCATAGTACTGTGATTAGCTTTATTCAAATCAAATCTATGTTTCAAAGCCTTTCAAACGCACACCCACACACACAATTTCAACCACGCACTCTCAAGCACACATTTGTCTCCTTTAAATCTACTAATCGCTTGGAGACATCTCCACAGATAATTATATTATTTCCCAAGCAAGCATATCAAAATCAAAACCGTCTAGTACCGACTCTATCATAGCCTGAGCAAAGTGGGCGGCCTCTGTGGGCTCCCAATTTGGATCATTTTCATGCTCAGTCATCTCCTTTAAGCCTTGAAATAAAAATAGGCAACGTTGTATATAGGCATTTAGCTCAAGCAGCTCAATCACGGACCACACTGTCATCTCATAAGGTGAAACACCTTCCTCAGTCACTATGTGACATTTACAGGTCACCTCCAATTGACCGTCTTCCTCTGCTATTTGTATGTTACAGGTTGCAAAATAAAGCACAGGCATGTTTGCTTATTCTATTTAAACAACAATTTAACAGTATTAAATGGGACTGTTTAATGCATGGGACACAATATAATCATTTATTGTTGAAGGGACAAATGTCAAAGGGGTTCTAACAGGTCCACTTTATTGCGTGCTCATAAATTATTGTTATCTGGGTCACTCACCCAATGTGCTTTATTGTTTGAGATTATTAATTATGTCACGCTTATCAGTGGCTCATATTTATTTAAGGCCTATGTTTGAACTTGACAACAAAGGCAGAGCATCATTTCATCCTTTCAGGGTGAAACACTCCACTTTCTCTGTGTCATGGCAGCTCAGAAAACTTCATGAACTTTACTTATTTAAAGATATAACTTAAAATCAGTTGTGTTATCAGTATAAAATATTTAAGATTTAATTAAATTGTTTTCAATTGACTTACAGCAGCTTACTCTGATCTAGGAACACTCTCTTATACTCCTCAAAAACTGAAGTTACTCAGTCTTAAATGATTTTTACATTACATAAATCAACTGTGATTAACAAATAACGTCCTAGTGGTTCCCACTTGGTTTAAAACACTCAAAAGCCTTCTAGGGACCTATTCTGATCATAGCCTATGTGTTTGTAAGCTTGTTTGCATTTAACCCTCTGCACTCAAAGCATTTATTACACTTTATCAATCCGGACAGTCACGCCGAATGAAGCTTCTGACCTTCAAAGGCCGAGTGCCAACTCATTATAAGCACATTTGCAAGGTGTGTCTGAAAATTATTTAAACCACTCTCTTTAAATCAGAAACTATTTACATTGTTATAACATCAAAACCAGCAGCTTCTTTACAGGCTTTCAGCAATAAAAGGCCTTCTGCTTCTAAGGCTCACACACACTCTGGGCAGGAAGTGAAAAGCTCTGTTCTCCTCCCAGCCACACACTCATTTGCATGTTCACACACCGTCTAAAAATAGCTCTCAGCGCTGCAGCTGCGCTCTCATCACACGCAGGGTCACACAAAGCTCAGACAAAACTCTATTTTATATCACAAAGACGTCTTATATTTACAACCACTGACAGACATGACAAATTCAGCACCTAACAAATTTCGACAAATTTAAATTAACGGGTCCAACCGAAGAAAGCTTCACTTTTTTGTAATCAATCAAACAGTATCTGTTACTTCTGGGAACAGTTTCTGACCTAACTTCTAAATCCCTAACTCAATTTAACTTTGTCCAAACAAGCACATGACACCGTTTCAAACGATGAGGAGTCTCGGTCACTCCTAGCTTATTTCGGGATGCCCTGTACCCCACAGTTAAACCAAAACTGAACTACCCCTGTTCGCCGACAGGTCAAGACCGCGCGTCCACGGCCAGGAGGGGGCGTAACCCCCGGGCTATGTGCTTCTTAGCAACTTCTGGTGCCGTCCTATAATAATTTCAACCTAACCGATTTTGTAAAATTTTACCATAACGGGTCCTACCGAAGAAAGATAACTTTTTTACGACCAATTAAACAGTCTCTGTTACTTCTGGAACAGTTTCTGTCCTAATTTGTAAAACTATTAAACAGTATCTGTTACTTCTGGAACAGTTTCTGTCCTAATTTCCCTACCAAACTACCTGAGCCTTCAGCTCAATATCCAGGGACTCAAACCCAACATTCTCTGTTACTTCTGGAACAGTTTCATATTTCTTCAACTTCATTAAATACTCTTAAACAACTTTAACTGCATAACACACGGTGATTCTCATCAAAATCAAAACAGACACCCACCAGCAACGTCAGTGAGCAGGCTTTTAATTTAATGCAGCCCAATTTGGCACAATTTGGGAATCAACTCAACAGGCAGTGCCTTACCTTTAGAAGCACCCGCGGAGCTCACTCACATCAGATCCCTGGTCCGTGCCTGTCCGCTCGACAACCTCAGACCGTCCACACCTCGCACGTCCACCCCAATACCACAGGACGAGCCCCCAAAATGTTATGGTTCAAAAATATTGGAGATGGACACCAGAGGAAAAACCCACAATAACAACACTGGTCCGGTCGGGTTGAGTCAAACGATGATTTAATGATCACACACGTGGGAGATGGACACTGTATGCAGACAGCCTCAGATCTCATCTCAAAAAACACATTTCCATAGTTTTATGAAATCAGGGTATTAGAACGCCCCCTCATGCGTAGTGACAGGTGTAATACAATCAATGTTGACAATTTTATTTAACACAAAGAATAACATTGTCTCCTTCCCGAGGGCAGACGCTAACTGCCCCCCTTCTCCTGGAACCGTCTGTACCCTGCTGAGACACAACATGGCAGCTACAAGGACTCTTTCATTTATTAAGACCATTAGTGTGTATTGCTCTAAATCAAGTATATAATATTAAATGAATATTGCTGGATCAGCTACTTCTACTTAAAACATATTAAAACATGACTAAACACAAAATCACCAAGAATGACATCTTATAAGTGCTGTGTAAGCGCGTGCGGCCTTCCAAGCTCAAAGCCTTTGCCCTCCATAGATCAGCCAGACTCGCACTGGCTGTAGCTTTTAACCTTTAATTACCTTGAGCACAACTCTAAAATGAGCAACAAACTGCAATGTGTGTGGAATGATCATGGTTACATCTGCAATGGAAAATCATGTTATTATTCTGATACCTGTAAGAAAGATCAAATTAAAGTTATCACCATCACTGTAATGCAAAGAATAATATAAGATCAAAAACTTCAATTTATGCTTAATGCAAAGCTGGTTATATACTTCTAATGAACTAATAATGGCATATTAAAATATTAAATGATAATGAGAAAAACATCCCCTCCTTATTCTACATTAGTTAAGAGTGAGATGAAAAATAATTGCGTTCACGTTTGTAGTTGTCTTGTTATACAATTTTTGAAATGAAAAAAACAAACAAAACACCAAATTTTTGGAAATATTTGTGTGTTTTCTTGTTTGTCTTGTACTACTTGAACACTAAATTGGCCAATGCGATGACTCTGTCAGCAGTGGCCCACAGCTCATTTAAGTTTGACAACCCTGATATTGACAGACGAGCAAACAAATCAAATTGATTACACCCTACCTTTCGTTTTAAGGGGGAAAACGAAAGTCAGCTGAACTGTAGCTTTAAGTAAAAGTTGTAACTTTTGACTACTATAATAAAATCCTAACAAGAACAAGATAGTTGTCATTTGCATTTCATAGCTCTCTACCTAACTGCTAACTGGGATGTCAGGCCATGTTTGCATTTTTTTGTAACTGCTTATTCGTTTTAGGGCTGAAGTGCAGGACTCAACTACTGCTGAAAAATGTTTAAGCAAATACCAACTCAACTAAGAACTAATGATTACATCAACTTTCAGTGAAGCACATATTAATTAATTTAAAAAAAAAAATATCACTGAGGAAATTCTTTTGTTCACTTTTAAAATTCTGAATAATTTAGCGCCCACCTATCTCTCTGAACTACTCCACTTATACAATCCCAACAGAGCACTTAGATCGTCCAATCACATGCTCCTAGCACAACCTAGGTCTCGACTGAAGTCGAGAGGTGACCGGGTCTTTGCAACCGTGGCACCTAGACTCTGGAATAACCTCCCTGTTCATATTCGTACTACCGAGTCTATCCAGTCTTTTAAATCACGTCTTATCTAAAACTTATCTTTTTACTTTGGCCTTTGATTCTAACTAGTTGGCTGTTCTAGCTTGTTGTGTTGTTACCTATGGTTTGTTGTGCTGTTTTATTGTTTGTTTTAATTGTCTCATGCTTTTACTGACTGTGAAGCACTATGGTCAACAATGTTGTTTTAATATGTGCCATATAAATAAATTTTGATTTGATTTGATTTAAAACATTGTAACATCAGTGACATAATATCTGTGTGTACATTTTATTTGGCCTGTTTACAGAGTGACATCAAGAATTCACAAAATAGCTGTCATGTGCCAGGCCCGTGCATCCATAATGCCTCTTGTTCAATGTTTTTTGCAGAGAAAGTGTGTCCTGAAGGATGGATCATGTTCAGTCATAGCTGTTATGTATTATCTGAAAAGCTTGGTTCCTGGGATGAAGGTAGAGACGACTGCAGAAGCAAAGGAGCAGATCTGGTGGTGATAGAAAGCCTTGAAGACAAGGTACAGCATAACCAGTATGCATGTGTCATTGTGTTTGTAAATAGTTATTCAAAATTACACTCCTGAAAATGTTTTATATCAATTACTTTCCTCACTCTTTTAAACAATAAATATTTTACAGGCATTTATATCTAGTTACATTAAGGAATATGCTTGGATTGGTTTGAATGACAAGGAAGAGGAAGGAAATTGGAAATGGGTCGATGGAACTCCACTGAATCTAAAGTAAGTCTTCACTTTGCTCCAGTGGTCTCATTTGCTCAGGAAGGTTCGTAACTGAGTGATGTCACCCAGGAGAATCTGCATATCAACTATAGTAAATGCTGTTTGAATACTACAAATTCCTAGGAAATACTCCTTTTTATTACCTCGTTTACAGTGTTGGGACTAACGTGTTATTAAGTAACGCGTTACAGTAACTACGTTATTAGTGTGGTAACGAGCACGGTAACTAGTTATTATGCCAAAATCAGGAACGCGTTAATCGTTACTGGGATTTAGATAGGCTCATTACTCGTTACTTCGTGTGGTGGCTATCGCTGAGCTTCCACAGATTCAGTAACATTAGCAAGTGGTGGAGGCCAGCAGGTGGATGAGGGAAGGGGAGGCAGGAGGAGGAGAGATCCGAGGTGGCCGCCTGTCCGAGTGTCAGGTGAACTGAACTTCAGGTAAGAATTTATGACCTGCAGTGTATCTGGGTCAGATAGAAACCAAGTTTAGATGAAGTTTATTTTCGTTGTGCTGACATTTTCGTACTGCGTACTAGCTAGCATGACGGAGTTTCTATACAGCTGGGTGGGTGCTATGATGTTGCCAACGTCCTCTAAAAAACTAAATTATCTCGTATTCAGAGAAAATATTACGTGTTTCATATTGAGGTGAAAAGAAATGCAGTTTGTCCCGTAGCCTACTTCAGCTACAATGAAAAAGACAAAGCTGGAATTATTCTGTGTCTTTGCTGCACAGCTGCCTATTCTTCTCTCATCCTCTCACCCTCCATCTCCTGTTTCTACTTCAATCATGAAACTGATCAATGATCAGCTGATCGGCTTTTCTCTCTTGTTTGTTTATCGCCCACTTTGCGGCCGAAAGAGGAAACCAGCGGCTGTCACGCTAAACAACAGCAGCACGTTTAAGCTTGATCAGCTGTTGTTAGAATTTATTTAATATTAATTTCTAGTATCAGCTGATGTTTGCTGGAGCCACAGCTGTAAAGCTGCTGGTCATGATGTCGGTTTGGATATATGATGAGAGGGAAACATGAAGATGAAACCAGGAGATGTCCTTACTGAATCATCAGAGCTGAACAGGTGATGGAGAAACAGGTTTACCTTTTAGGTGACATGAATGAGTTGAAGGGAAGTTATGAACTGTTTCTGAGAGACAAATAACACCAGGATCCTTTTTTAGGTAGCTGACATCTGGTAACTGTGCAGGGGCGGGTCTAGCAAAGTTTTGCCAGGGGGGCAGGTAGGGCATTAACAGGGAAAGGGGGCTATAAGTCCAAAATTTTGTAATAGCTGTACAAATGTAGAAGAAGACAAAACATTTACTGTGACAGTCTCTAATATGAGAGCATTAGATTTAGAGCAATTGGCAGTAAATTGAGTGCCACATATTTTAATAAATCTGGCCCTAAATATTCCTTCTCCTTTAATATCACCCTTTGTAATTAAGTTTTATTTTTCACATGTTTCAAAGGTTGACCTCTGTAAAACAGTAGTTTAAGAAATCATGGTGCTGAAGTCATATGCCCAATTTGTAGTCATTTCCTGGTTATTTTAACATGGCAGACATCCAGTGACTTTGTTAAAGAGAGTAGAGAATGTTATTCAGGTTCTCAGCACACTGCTCTTCTGTTTTTCAAAGTCCTTATCAATTCTCCTACCCACCTGATAATATGTTCAGCAAGGAAAACTGGTTTGGAAAGGTTCATAACATGTACTTTTGGAACGTACACTTTAATTGAATTTATTACTTTTACTGAATTTTCAGCAGAAATAAGCTCATTGGTGGGCTGAGCTGTCAGTGGGTTTAGTCAAACTAGAAACTGCTGAGTTATATTTAGCATAGCCTATAGTATAGGCTATGCTATATCATATATCATATCTATATCATATTCTTCTGACCGTATAGGCCCTATACGGTCAGAAGAATTGCTCAGCAAATTACCACAGTTATATTGCTATAAACACTGCATTAAAAAAAATAGAAAATTAAGCTGATGTTTCTTTGCTTTTTGGGTTGTTTGTTTGTTTAGTTTTTTTGTGTTTTGTCTTGTTTTTTGATTTGTTTTTTTCGGGGGGGGTCTCCTTTATATAAGTCTTTTGTCAAATACAATAATTCTCTTGTTCACTAACTTGTCAGGAACTGGATGGCAAAACAACCGGATAACGGTGGTGGAAACCCAAAGTGGGGTGAAGAGGACTGCGTTCAAGTAGAAACTGATGCATCGTGGAATGATCTTTCATGTTCAGCCTCTATAAAATGGATCTGTGAAAAACATACAACAGAATAATTCATTGACCACTGTCTGACATGTATTTACTAATTCAGCTGTGCCTTTTATTTTATCCTACATGTCATTTTCACTCCATTTTAACTTCTTCTTTTTTTGTAGCTAAAAATGTGCAACCTTTTAAATCTAAAGTTATGTTTATGCCAGTAGAAATACCAGATACTTGTGGAAGTGTTGTGTGTTTTCCAATATCATTTAAAAAAAATCAATCCCTTGTTAGGGAACAAATAAAAAATAAAGTCTCAAGTCTTGTGTTCTGGAGAACAATGGCTGCAGTCACATTTAGTCTGAGCTCAGTGGGTATCTAATGATCTAAACCCATCTCAACAGTGACACCTGCTGGCCAGTTTGGCTATCACTACATCTTGATGATGCTGTTCTGTGAAACAATGGCTGTATCCCAATTCAGGATCTGCAGCCTTAAAGTACGCAGCCTCAACGATCCTCAGGGGCCGCGTACTTATAAACCACTAAGGCCGGAAGTGCGAGGCTTGTGAAATGGGACGGTCTAGCCTCCGTTGCGCTGCTCAGGTTGCCTATAAACCATGATACTGACTGCTAAAACGTTTTATACAGCATTGTTTACCAAAAATGAAGGAGAAAACCTTTTGTTCATTTGTTTGTTTGTTTCTACATGAGCTTTGATTATTCTCTGTAAGATTAAGGTCAGCTATTGAACGGCGTGTATTTTAAAGTAAAGGCTTTAAAACCAAGTTAGTACAAACGCCACTAATGTCACATAACTTTGCCGACATGTGGCCAACAGTAATGTTTTAATGTTCTTCGTTATTAAACATTTGCACATAAATAAGTGATATAATATTCAGTACTTACTTAAAGTTTACTCTTCGGGCGCCCCTCATCCGCCGTTTTTTTTTTTTCGGCAAAATTATCCACACCCAGCGCCGCGCTATGCATTCTGGGATATGTTGGGCCACGAAGTCTACACCGCCACGTCCTTGAAATTCAGGGAAATGAAGGACGCATTTGAGGGCCGCATTTCGAGCAGCCTTCGAATTGGGACAGTCTTCGTCCCGTTGCTGTGACGTAATCGGCCTTAAAATGCGGCTTTTAAGGCTGCAGTCCCTGAATTGGGATACAGCCAATGACACAGAAAAGCCTAGCAAAATTCAAAGCAAAAATACTTATTAAACCAGACTGTCAATAGTTGTGACCATCACATGTTTTGGAGAAATCCTCGTACAAACAGGGAAGGAAAAAAATGAGACTCTTAAAGACAGAAAGCAATGACTGTTACAACCGGTGTTGTAAAATTCTCAGTCTGTTAACATTCATGTTGCTCACTATAAATCAAATTATAAAATAAAGTATACAGGAAAACACCGCAGTGTTTACTGTAATAGCCACAAATATTTACAGCTGTTTTTTGGTGGGTTGGTCATCTCTGTTTTTTGCACAGCCCTCAAAGTCTGGATGTGTTTGATGTTTACATTTTCTGGGAGTTTGTGTCATCGGGTTTGTTCTATACACTGTCAAGCAAAGCAAAAAGCTGGCATAAAAAGATTTAATTTTTAATTAACTTAAAAATATGTTTAAATGAAAACATTAAAGTTGTTTTCATTTAAACAGCGCTGTACTTAGGGACTAAGTACAGCGCTATACAAATACAGGCCATTTACCATTTAATTTAACGAGTAGTAAAATTCAAATTCAAATTTTATTTGTCACGTACACAGTCAGTCACGGTACACCCATCAGCAGATAAACTGGAGCAGCTGGGATACCTAAAAAGTGTAGGGGGGCGTGTTCGCAGTAGTGATGGGATTTCCGGCTCTTTTTAGAGAACCGGCTCTTTCGGCTCGGCTCACTAAAAAGAGCCGGCTCTTTCGGCTCCGAACCGGCTCTTCAGGTTGTTTTGTTGCTTTAATTTATTTATTATTAACAGTAATATACAATTATGCACAAAAGGAATTACTAATGTAAAAAAAGTGGTTTTAGTTATATATTTATATATAAACATATATGTGGTGGCCCCTAGAGACAAAGCACGTACAAACTCCAAAACACATTTCTAGCTTTAACTGAACTTCCAAAACAGAGCTACTAGATCACTTAAATTACACAATTGAAAGCATATGTGTATGGTTTGTGTATTTATACACAACCACTCATATATATTCAAATAATTTTAGAAAAAAGTTAATTTACCTGTTACTACCACACACCAAATCCGGTCGTTGGTACTTGCTGGCTTGTGTAGCCACTAGGTAACAAAAGCTCAACACTGCGCCCAGCATCCTGGAGCACTTCTGTTGTGTTTGTACGTGTTTTGGAGTTTTTACATGCTTCTGAGTTTTTATGTGCTTCGGAGTTTGTACGTGTTTTGGAGTTTGTACGTGTTTTGGAGTTTGTACGTGCTTTGTCTCTAGGGGCCACCGTAAATATACTTTTATTTATTCACTCCACATAAAATGTAATAAATAAATCATATAATACAAAAACCAACTATTCACATTTCAACTTTTAACTATTTAAATTTTCAGCTTTTTCCTTTTAAACAAATTTTAAATGAAACAACACAAAACACTGCAAACCACAACACAATTAAATATAAATTACAATATGAAAACAAAAAGAAGATGCATATTCTCTGTCATATTGGCCTGCATGAATAAACTTTCTGAATCCTTTATCATCCGCAACTGAAAATAGTTGTGGACGATTACTATACCTTTCTAATGTGATGTTGTTGTCCCTGGCTCCCTTTCTCCGTCCAGTGTTGCCAACTCCTCAGTAAGGAAAATCGCTATTGGTTGTCCTAAAAGTCGCTAAATGACGTCATCGCCTAATTTGCATAATTGGTCATGCTAATCTAATTGTAACTTATGTTGTTGGAGAGAGAAATAACATCGTGGAAGAGACATAAAGTGAGTAAAAAGCGTCCTAAATGCATTTAGAGTTTATTTAGAACTACAAATTAAATTTCTTTTAGCAATTATTGTTTTTTTTTAATGTCACAATTCCAACCCTGCTCCTTTACCCGGGCTTGGACCGGCAAAAGTGACCCGAAATAGGCACTCTGGTGGAGTTACTTTGTGTGTGTGTTTATAAGTAGTTTTAAACCTTGTGATCCACAAAACAGCATAAGAGTAAAAGAGTAAAAGAAGAACTGACTGCATTACAGCACCCGCTGCTTGTTGAGAGTAAAAGCGATACGCACTTTCACGTCTTTTTTTAGCGACTTTTTTTAGAAGAAAAGTCACTAAGTGGTCTGAAAACTCGCTAAATATAGCGACAAAGTCGCTAAGTTGGCAACACTGTTCGCGAGTACGTTTGCTGATAGTAACACCATGTGATTCAGCTAATAACACAGGGATTTCATCATTTGTGAAGCCAGGCTGAAAACACTCAGCAATCTGTGCATTCACGACTGGATGTAATACCGGTAGCTTAGCTGTAGCATTTGTAGCTGAGGGCTTCAGCTTCCGGGTAACAAGGAAATGACGTCATTCACGTAGATTACTGATTGGCAGCGCTAACTCGAAACTTCGAGTTGCTTTTCTCAAAATTTTGAGTTAATAAATTGAAATTTCGAGTTAATGGCCCTGTTTCAGGAAGCCGGTTTAGTGGAAAAACTGAGTAAGTATACCCTGAGTTAACGAAAACTCTGGGTTTTCGGTTTCACAAAGCGAGTTCAGCTGAAGCCTGAGTGAGTCACTATGACGACACACGCCGTGAAGCTAACCTGCCCCCTAGCAGGTTTACTACAACTAACCCTGACTGTCTCCGCCCCTTTGTCGGAAACCTGACTGTAGGAAGTGTCGGACATGGCGTGTCACTTCCTTGAAGAGCCAGTAGATCGTGAAGCCCAAATTCTCCGCAGAGCTCTCCGCCGGGAGAGAGTGATCAGAGCGCGTTTGGACATTTTATCATTTCCTGATGATTTTCTGTGCGAACGTTACCGTTTCTCAGCACAATCTATAAGTTATTTGAATAACATCCTCAGGCCATATATTACGCATGTGACACATCGCGGACATGCTCTCAGTTCATTAGATATTATTTGTATTGCACTTCGGTTTCTTGCAAACGGGAGCTTTCTGTATAATATTGGTGACGCTGAGCACGTTTCCAAGGCTACCGTCTGTCGGGCAGTCAGGAATGTTACAGTTGCAATGAAACGTCTCCTGTACTCGTTTGTGGTGTTCCCCGGTCATAGACCCACAAGATTCATCAAAGAGGGATGCCACAAAATTGCAGGTATCAGGATGACCAAAACTTAATTCATGATGTGGTGATACTTGGACTACTACTTAAATTTTACATTTATTTTCAGGGTTCCCAGGCGTGATTGGCTGTATAGATGGCACTCACATTCCAGTCATTGCTCCTTTAGTAAATGAAGGAGACTATGTGAACAGGAAGTCTTTCCACAGCATTAATGTACAGGTACATAGTTCCCTGTAGCATTTCAAACTAACAAATTATTTCATCATAGTAATGGATGCTAATTTGTGTTCGCTGCACTGTGAAGATCATATGTGATGCTGCCAACATTATCACAAATGTGGAAGCCAAGTGGCCAGGCTCTGTCCATGACTCACAAATATTCCGTGAATGTACACTGAGCACAAAATTTGGACATGGTGAGTTGAGAATACTTTAAAATATATAAAGACCAATTGCTTCAGGGACATTTGAACTGAAGTGTATCCTTCTGTCTTAGGAGAGTTCACTGGCTACTTGCTTGGTGATAGGGGGTATCCATGTTTACCCTATTTGCTTACCCCCTACTCTGACCCTGAACCGGGCCCACAGCAGCGATATAATCTGGCTCATTGCAGGACAAGAGCCAGAATTGAAATGACTATCGGAATGCTTAAGGCCCGGTTCCAGTGCCTGCAAAGACTCAGGGTCACCCCAGAAAGGGCATGTGACATTATTGTGGCATGTGTGATTCTTCACAACATTGCCACAATTAGAGGAGAACACTGTCCTTCTGAACCAAACATCAGCAGTGATCCAAACCATGAACATCCTGACCCTCCCACGGACATACAAGATGGAAGCGCAGTCAGAGACACCATATGTCACAATCATTTCTTTTGACCCATCACCTCAACATGTTGAAAGAAGAATAAACAGATTTTTTGTTCAACTGGCTTTATTGGTCGCCTGTATTTCCTGTACACAAAGTATTAAAAGATGTAAACCTCATAAAGTGTCTCTGTTGCTTCCTCCTCTGTAACAGCTGTCAATGTTTCTTCATTATTTTCCTGT